AGGAGGAGACTTTTCCATGATTCCCCTTTATTTTCCATTCGTTGGATCAGAAACTGGAAGGTCTCTTTTTTTATCTTCCCCATTCTGTTGGGACTCCAAGGTACTTCGAGTAGCAGTTGGAAACCGCAAACCCAACCGTGTGAATGATAATCCCCTGTTCATCAGTTGGGACATTATGACTGAAGAAAATCGAGGACTTGTCCTTGTTAACTTCCTGACCTGTTATCGATCCATAGTCATTGAGAATGGTCAGAATTTTGCCAGCTTCACAGGCTGATGCTTCTCTAAAAATGACAGTATCATCAGCAAATAAACAGCGTGTGAGAGTGGGGCATGATCACTTGAGCTTCAATCCTCTAATATCTCTTCTTTGTACAACCTTTTCGATTAGGAAGGAGAGGGCATTGGACATCAGGATAAACAGAAGTGGGGAGAGTGGGTCTCCTTGACGGATGCCCCTTGAGGGGGTGAATTCCTCAGAAGGTCTCCCGTTGAGGAGGAGTCTGAACTTCACCGAAGAAATGCAAGACCGGACCCATCCACACCAAGTCTCATTGAATCCATACGCTTTCAATAACTCAATGAGGAAATCCCACTCCACCAAATCATAGGCCTTCCTCATGTCAAGTTTCATCATCATATTCTTATGCTGTCCACTGTTATGCTTTTTAAAGTGATTAAGAACTTCATGAACAATCACTATATTGTCTTGAATCTGTCTCCCCCCTGTAAATGCTGATTGGAGCTCATTCACCAGACTGGGAAGGCATGGCTGCAGTCTGTTAGACATGATCTTGGTGATCACCTTGTACCAGAAGTTACAGCAACTGATAGGCCTGAATTGTCCTATGGTTTCAGGGGCTTCAACTTTGGGGATGAGAGTGATGTAAGGATCATTCCAGTTGGGTGGCATCACGTTTGTATTGAAGAAGTTGATGATCTCATCGCAGAACATGTCACCAATGAGGTCCAGTACTTTCTGAAGAAGTGTCCCGGGAAGCCATCAGGTCCTGGGGCTTTGTTAGCGCCAAGTTGAAAAACTGGTCTTTGGGCCTTAGCTTTGTCAATGTTGGCATTCAGACCCACATTATCTTCATGGGAAACTAGTGAGGGAAAATCGTTGAGTAAAGATGAGTAAAAGGATCCCTCTCTGCTTGTGAAAAGGTTGAGGTAGAACCCGTTGACATGATCCTCGAGGTTCTGATCATTGTTAATCCATCTCCCTGTTTCATCTTTAAGTTTCACAATACGGTTCCTATTTCTTCTTTTAATTGTGCTAGCATGAAAGAAGCTTGTGTTTTGATCTCCTTCTTGAAGCCAGCTGTTTCTGGACCTTTACGCCCAAAATTCTTCTTCCGATTTCCAAGCTGTACCCAGTTCTAGAAGCAGAGCTTTTTCTTCCTCAATCACCTCAGTATTTCGAATCGGGCCTTGCAACTCTTGAAGTCTCAGTTTGATTTCCTTTTCTCTCTTGATTTTGTTTGCTCTATCCAGTCTTGACCATCTCTGTAACTCTTCTTGGCAGTTTTTAAGAATCTCATGAACCCTGCCTCCGGCTTTCCATAGATTATCGATGATCTGGTTGCACTCCCCATTCTCCCTCCATCTTTGTCTTGCAGCTTCGGGTGGATATCAATTCTGATCGGGCAATGATCTGATTCAACAAAGTCTTCATGGAACACAGTAGCTGAGCCAAATTTGAGTCTCCACGTAGCCGAGCAAAGTCCCCTGTCAAGTCTTTCTCTTATCAGGTCGGGCCCCTATTAGTTGTTGGTCCATGTAAATACTTGTCCAGAGAAACCAAGATCAAAAAGGGCATTCTGTGAGATGAAATACTTGAAAGGGGCGACGTTTTCATTCCTCAGGGGGAAACGTCCTTGTTTTTCAAAGGGGAAAAGGGCGACATTAAGGTCTCCCACAATGAGCCAACTATCATCCTGAGAATCCCTTAGAATCGTAAGTAGATCCCAAAGGGCTCTTCTCTCCACCGCCGTGGTGGGAGCATGAACAAAAGTACAAAAAAATTCTTCTCCATCCCTACTAATACTAACATCCATAAAGGATTTACACGCATCAAGAACTCTGACATCCACGTCCTCCTTCCACCATAAGGCTAGTCCACTACCTTCTACTGCATGGCTAACATACTTGGAGTGATCGAACTTCATTGCTCTTCTATTTTCCTCCATGAAAGAATCTTCCTTCATGGTTTCCATGAGAAAGAGTATTGAAGGGCCATATTGCCGGCAAAGTCTACCGCAGTAGCTTCTTGTAAGGGATTGGCCAAATCCCCTACAGTTCCAGCTAAGGATCCTCATTCTTGAAGTGGCGGCTTAAGGCTTGCCGCCGCTGCCCTCGGAGAGATTGATTCCCCTTCCCCGGAGTGATTCCCATCCCCTGTTAGTTCCACAATGGTTCTCCTTCTGGTAATATGTTTCCTCCTCTAGTAAGTCTTTCGGTTTTCACCTGGAGCAAAAGACAAGGAATCAAAAGAAATGTTAGTCGATGCCTCCAATTGTGGGAGGGAGCAACTTGGGCTGATTTTGTGCTTTGGTTTCCTTTTTTTCTCCGGCCTGGGCCTGTTCTCCTCTTCCCCAGTCATCGCTTCCTTCTCTGAGATTGGGATGTGGGCCTGTCCTTGTGGGCTTAGGATCTAGGCTGGTGTTTCCTTCATTGGTGGAGGGTTACTGGTTGCAGCAAGGGCATAGAATGGGCTTGCCAACGAGAGGGTTTGGCCCATCTCGAAGAGGCCCGCTGCCTTTTCTCTGTGACTCTCTCCTTTACCTAGGTCGAGCGTCCTTTGCATCGCCCTAGCCGTCACTTCCATTTCCATCTCCAGAAAGGTAGGTTGGAAGGTGGTGGCAGGGATTATGACTTCTCCTCTCTGGGTCCATTCCGTACTTCTCCCTGTAAGTGGCAGTGTTATGGTAGTGAATCCCGGTGGGCTCGAGGAGGAGCTCTGTCCAGTTTGACCTACGAGGTGCATGAGGGAGCTATCACCTTGAGATCCGCGAATCAGGCCTGCAGGATATCCAGTGAGGGTTGGGCGGCGTGCTCTGGCCATCTTTTCCCGGAATGACGCCAGTGGTGTGTTCGCCGGTGAATCGTGCCCAGCTTTCAGTGCTGCTGTCTACACTTCCGACGGGTCGATGCTCAAGCCTCTTCTCCGGTGATCCTCCCTTTCGAGACAGTTGTGGATCAAGTGTCCCAGTCTCCCGCAAAAGTAGCAGAGGTCCATTATCCTTTCATATTTGAAGCTGACCCAGATGGATTTTTCCCCCATCGGGTACTCAAAGCCGATGGGTATGGGTTGATCTAGTTGGACCTCCACCTTGGCTCTAATGAACTTTAGCCATCCCCTGAAATCAAAGTTGGACTGATCAATGCAATGGAAGTGGGGGAAGATGTATTCCGCGAGGGCTTGGATTGCTTCTTCGTCCTTGAGTGATTGGGGAAGGTCGTGCATCTGTACCCATAGTGTGACTGTGTTGATGTCATCAGATTCCACCTTTTGTTCCCCGTCCCATTTTTTCAGTGCGATGAGGGTGTTGCTGAGGTTCCAGGGCCTGGCCTCCCAGACTGCATCTCGTTGCTTTTGTGACTGGAAGGTGTAGACGAATAAGTTCTCTGCCTCTTTTGTTGCTTGGACATCCCCATAGGCTCGCCATTTACTGATGGCTGCATTCTTTGCCTTGTGCAGATTGATGCTAGTATCTGTGATCCATTTGCCGAGGAGCATGGCCATGCCACTACCTCTAGCACCAACGATTGTTGGCCTCACATTCAGGACCAGGTGACTTTTCTCTCCTCTCACATTCATTGAAGTGTTCTCCATGTTGATGGTTGCATAAAGGGATCTTGGGTTTTTTGGATGGTGGAGTTCTTCTTTGTTTGTTGTGTATGGCGAGAGATGGTTTTGATGGGAGGTTACGTGAATCTTCATCTTTATATAGGCCAAGCTTTCCTTCTTCCTGATAGCTACCCTCTTCCTCATCGCATTGAATGCCTTCTTTCTTGTTTCGCCTTCCCTGCCACACCCTTCCTCCTTTGTATTTGTTAGTCTTCCTCTTAATTGCCATTTGTGCTATCTAACTGACGGTATATTTACTCCCTCCCTGTTTGCCGTGTAGCTTTAGTGTGGCTGCAGTGGAGATTGTTCCTTGTGTGCCTTGTCAGTGCATTTACGCCTTCCGCTAGTTGCAATCGGCAGACTGGGTGTGGTATTAAATGGAATGATTGCTTGGTGGATCATCCAGGTCGCAGTCTCAGGTGCTCTCTTCTTGCTTTTATTCTGGAAATCTTCTGCAGATTTGATTTGGTGCTGCTTGCCTTCAATATCCTTCCTTTCACCTGCCTTCCCCTCTTTACTACCTTCTGTCGCAGCATTGGTGGTTCTTCCTCCTCTGCTTTCACTGACTGGTTGTTCCTCTGGAGGTTTGGGCGGCGGAGTCAAGACCCAGAGTGAGCTAGCTTGCCATTGTCCTTTTCCTCATAGGTAGGTTCATCGGCGTTGAGTAGTGGTTCTCCATTACTGCAAATCTGCACATTAATTTCCTTGCAATCTTCCTTGAGTGCCTGGTTAATTTTGCAGGTCAGTGGCTGGGATTGATTGATGGTTACAGGGATGGTAGCTGAGAAGGTCTTCAGGTGAGGATCATTGATGGCTCCGCTAGCGGCAGCTATAGAAGAATATAGAATAGATATTTTTGTGGGTATTTTAGGACAAAGCATTTTTGTGGTTGTGTACTCTTGGGTACTTTCCCTTTTTATCCTTTTTGTTACTATAACAACATTGATAGTGTTGTTATAGTATCCGGACCCAGCCAGCCGCAGGGCCGCCAAACTAGCTCATTATTTTCGTTCGACCGCGCTTCAAAATATTCTCAGCGTCCAAACTCCAAACAGATTCCTCCGAACCAATGCAGTCAAAAGCGCGATTCTACCTAAAAGCGGTTGGGTGACCTAAAAGCGTAAAACCGTAAGCTTTTAAGTTTTAAAACGTAGATTTTGACTACATTTGTAAGGAAAAATCACGATTCTACGTAGAAACATTTTGGTGACCCAAAGAGGTAAAAACATAAGTTTTTAAGTTTTAAAGCGCGATTTTGACTACCATGATCCGCTCAGTCGCTGTTATCAATTTAGAGACGAGCAAAAATACAATTGAAGAATTGAATTGGACAGGAGAGAATTGTTATTTGGGCAATTCATAACACTTCACTATCACCTCCGCAATTCTCATTTCATTTCCGCCGTGTTCCAAACGCTCGGATGAAGCCTCCATTCCGAGTGGTTGCCTCGTTTAAGGTCGTGAGGAAAGGTTCTAGGTTCCATCCAAACCTGTGATTCAGCCTGACGAAGTTGCTCTCAATGTGCCATCAGAAATTCCGAAGGCTCGTTGATTGGCGTCAGAAATCCGTCGTCGAAGAGAAGGGTTGAGCTAATTTTCCTGTCAATAATCCACTTTTATGGCAATGAACTGAACTTGGGAGGGAGGGAAAATGAAGGAGAAGAGGAGAAAGAACCAAATTTGATTGATGTTCGTTTTTGCTCTTGCTTTAATTGAAGCTACTGGTTCTTGGGTTGAGCTTACTTACTCTGCAGGAAAAAGGCATGCTTTCTGATTGCAATTCGATTCGACTATAGGGAAGGCAGGTTGGCAGGTTTCTTCTAGGGATATTCCTGCTTATTAGACTTTGGTTTTAAAGGAATAGGGGGAATGAATACTGAATATGAGAGGTGGTGATAGGTCTCTTTTGCTTGATGTGGAATGTTCTATTCAATTCATGTAGTCAAGGTGTTTTGGTTAAATGTGTTTAAGGAATCTATGGAAACTGTAGTACTCTCTGGTGTTGTCTTCGTGTAAGTGAATGTGTGCTCTCCAGTATGGGTGGTGGTGGTTGGAAATCAGAGTTGTAATACATCTTCTCAGACAGAGCAATGTCTTCTGAACTTTTTAAAGTTTTGAGACCTTTTTGGTCTCTGTCCCATCTTTGAATCATTTAATTGTAGAGCATTTAGATAAACAGGCACCACGAGTTCTGATTTATCGCTAATGATCGTAACTTTTGTATGGTATAGATCACTGAGGATGTAGCTAGCGTCTCAAGTGCGCTGGTCTCTGGTAGAGGATTTAGTTGTTCTAGCCGTTTGGTCCTATTGATTCTCAGCTAAGCTGGATGTTGCTGCTATTCATTAGTTCTGAATGGTTGTTGCTGTTTCATGTTTTCTCCAGAGGGTGAAGTTGCTCTCACGTTCGACCTCTATCCAGGTAGATATTCCATTGGAAAAACCTCAGAGGTGTGTTAATTAAAACTGTCACATAAAAGTTCCTCGGAGATTTTGAAAAGCTATATTGTTCTTTTGTTTGATTTGACTACATTAGCCTATGATTTTTCAGAATGATGTTGCGTGGAGGGCTACCCTTGAAGATGCTTTGAAGGTGCTGCATCCATATGATAGGGCCTCTGAAAATATAGTGTCCGTAAAGGACACCTCATTGTTGATTCTAGTGAACTGGATATTGATAATCTGTTAATTAAAAATTAGCATCATCTTGGAATCTGACTTTCTATTTGTGGAAGGGTCTCTCATTAAGTAGGCTTCCCTTCCTCAGTAGAAAGACCAATGCTGAACATTGGCTCAATCTGATGCTAGATCTAAAGCTCATCAGAACTTGTTTTGTTGGCTAGTGTCTTTCTTTGGTAAATTCCATTTCACCTAAGCTAGTTTAGGCAACATGGAAAATGATCAGTTGGCAGTATATGCATACGTTTCTCGTTCTGCATTTTCTTTAAACTTTCCCGCCTCCATCTCTCCCTCATTTAACCGAGTTCATTGATTTTCCAATATGTATGAACCTACAGGTAAGTGAGTCTGGCCGGTTACCTGGAGATATTCTGAATGACATACCGTGCAATTATACCAGTGGAACTCTTGTTTGTGAGGTGAGTGTACCTTTTAGGTATATTACGTCTGTGCCAACATTCATGTGTGGACCATTTAATGAAAATGGCTGAGTGTATCCAGAATGCTGTCATGTTCTGCAGGTGCGAGATTGTCGGAACTGTGCTATTGAACAAGGTTCTGGTATGCCATCTCCTGGTGGGGGCCGTACCATGTATTAAGTGCACCTTGAGATGTCATTGAAAAATGTGGTGAATGATGTCCCTCTGATTTCAGATAACTCCTGGACCTATGGCGATCTGATGGTAATGTTTAAGGTCTTATTCTTCATACTTCCTATAAGTATCTGCAGCCATTAGGTCTTAGCTTTTGTTTCTACTTGTGGTTGTAGGACATCGAATCAAGGACAGTGGAGGCTTTCCAGCCGATACTTTCTGTTGATCCCACAACTGAACTGGATAGGCTCTCTGTTAGTCCCTTCCATTACCGGGTAACAAAAGAATATCTGAATAGATATGATATTTGGTGGAGGAATGTATTAACTTTTATTTTGTCAATTATGGCAACTCATACTTTCAGCTTAATTTAAATCTGAGTAGCCTACGGAAGAAAAGCTGGAGGCCGACGTCAAATGTAACCGTGTTTTCTACAAACAGACTCCATCGAAGAAAGTTTGCATAGTCCATGAAAGCTCCCGCAGCAGATTTTCCGAGTCTGGCCATATGATGCAGCAGCGTCATGTCCAGGAGAATCTGACGGCTCCAAATCTTGCTCCAGGCGGCATGCTAGGTGTTGGTCCAAGGAGCTCTCAAAATGGCAATGTTCAATCAATTCCTTTATTTTCTCAACAGCAAAGGTATCAAGCTGCAGCTACAAGTCGTAGGAGCATTCAGGATCATGGCTCAGCAGGGCCTCCTGTAAATAATTTCCCCTGGCAGACAAGAAATAATTTCCCCACGCGCGCCATGCATATCCAAATTTGACTAAGTATAGGAGTCACCCCCATGACACGCAGAGAGGGGTGGGCTTCATACCACCACCCCCAGGACGTGGCGAGGGGGGTGGACACCATACCACCACCCCCAGGACGTGGTAAGGGGGGTGATGGCCGAATTTGGCTAAGGCAAAGAGTATGGTAGCCACCTGATGACTCGGTATTTGCACATGTTTTCCCCTTTGTTTCTTGATTGTTTGAGCTTGAATTATTGCATCTTTGTCCTATTTTATGCTAGGTTGTGTTCCTTTGTCCCATTTCAGGTCCTAGCACATAAAGTGAAGTATAGGCGCAAGTTTCAAGTCAATCAGAGATCAATTGACGATTCGAGAGAGGAAACTCGGGCATGACCTGAAGAAGAATGGATTTCTACCTCACTTTATGGACAAAGAAGCATGCAAACTTGTTATGAAACGAAAGAGGACGAGACTACGAGCGTCTGGGATCAAACGGCGACTGATTCGGAGTCCGGACGAGAGAGAAACGAAACATTAAACAGAGGCTGAGCAAGCTACACGGGCAGAGCATAAAATCTGCACGGCCGTGCAAGGTGAGCTGCACGGCCGTGTAAGGTGAGCTGCACGGCCGTGCAAGGTGAGCTGCACGGCCGTGCGGCCTGCCCGTGCAAGAAGCCTGGAATTCAACTAATTGATGCGCTGCGTTTTGACTCGCACGGGCAACTGGGTGAGCCACACGGCCGTGCGGCCTGCCCGTGCAAGTCGGGATTTTCTGCTTTTAAGCAGATTTTCAGCCACAAGTCGAGGGGATTCGAGTTTTTGAGGGAGAGAGCGATTCCTAGAGAGAGAAAGCAACGAACAAGAGTCTCCAAGTGCCCTAGATTGATCTTCAACACCATTGGAGGCCAGCTTGAGCTTGGAGAAGTGCCAATCAACTTCCAGGAGCAGGAATCCATCCTTCACAGTATGAATTCCGCGTCTGATTCTGCTTTTGCTTTCTTCTCCATGGAGTAGTTCGCCCATTCATTTGGGTATGGAGAACCCTAGATTTGTATATTAGGCTTTGATTGTATGAACCCAAGTACTGATTCTATGATTGATTATATTCGATTGAGGTTTGATTGATTGAATGACTTGAATCCTGATCAAATTCCTGTTGTTTCTGCTTTGACCTAGAATGAGAATATCTGCCTAGGTTGATAGAGCACCCTTGATTGAAGATAGGGAGTTGGTGACTTTAGTCGAGGAGCCAACTCACTATTCTGTACCGGATTCACTCCGGTAGTGGAGGTTTTGTTTGTTAAGGCCTCAATCTGTTTACTCCGGTGGAGGTTAGTCGCCCGCTAGAGACTCAGATTGAGAGGGTCTGAAGACCTTTAGTCGAGACTTCAGGCTGTTTAAGAACCTTCCGCAGTATAACTTTCATAGAAACTGAACTTGGTAATTACAATCCGGCTTAACTGCAGTCTAGGGGAACCATATCCGGGTGACCTCTCTTAACCTGAATACAACAGTTTACTTGCTTTGTTTGTTTGGTAGTTTAGACTTACATTCCAGTTTCATTGCTAGATAACAAAAATTCACTGAGTAGTCATCAGATCTAGGACCCGGGTTGATAATTAAACCCAAACCCGCTATACTACGCTTTAGGGAGTGGTTCCACTTGGCCAATTCCTAGGGTGACAGTAGAGTCGAGTCAAGTTTTTGGCGCCGTTGCCGGAGACGGCTAGGTTGTTGAAGAAAAGTGATTTTTGTTAATTTAGCTTTTTTTTTTGCTTTGTTTGCTTTGTCCCACTTGTGCCTTCACGGGTTTGCTTGCTTGAGTGTGTGCAGGTAGTGCATGACCCATAGCCAGTCGGGAGGTTTACTGCCGTTGAATCCAGAGATTGAACGCACCTGCCGCCAACTCAGGAGACAACAGCGAGCTAGACTGGCTACGGAAGAGCGCATAGACGACCACTTGAGCAGCGATTCTGAAGAAGAGTACGGAATGGACGGAGACTACAATCAGCACCAGGGGAATCCTCAGCATGCTCCCCCGCTGAATCAGGTCCTGGGGAACAACCCCATACCCCAGGATCATGGAGTTCATCATCCACCGCAGCCGGGTCCCACCTTGGAGTACTACTACACTCCGCGGATTGCTGACATCCGCCCGGTCATCCTCTACCCGCCTATCCCAGCAAACAACTTCGAGATCAAGCCATGCTGGATTCAGCTCATTACATCCTCTATCCAGTTCCATGGCTTGAAGGATGAGGAGGCCAGGGTGCACCTTTCCCGGTTTCTGCAGCTGACGAACGGGTTCAAGCTGAATGGTGTCCCGGATGATGCCATCCGCCTGCATCTCTTCCCCCATTCTCTGGCGGGGAATGCTAAGAGGTGGTTGGAGACCCAGCCCCCATTGTCCATCACCTCTTGGGACGATCTGGCTGACAAGTTCGTGCACAGGTACTATCCGGCATCGAAGACTACAGAGATTCAGCGGGAGATCACTCACTTCCGCCAAGAGCTAGATGAGTCACTTCGTGATGCTTGGGAGCAGTACATGGGCTATTTCTGGCAGTGTCCCCATCATGGCTTCAGTGATGCATTCACAGTGGGGAACTTTTACAGTGCCCTCTCTCCAGATAGCCAGAGGGTGATTGAGTCTCTATGCCCAGGAGGGGATATTCTCACTAAGACTCCACCCGAGCTGAACCAGATGATCAGTACTTTGGCTGCCAGAGATCATTCGTGGGGACAGGGTAGCCGAGGCAGACAGTCCCGGGACCGTGGTGTGCACGCCATGGAGACCAGATCCGAGCTCGAGCAGCAGGTAGCTGAGCTAGTGCAGACATTGAAGCAGCCCAACAGTCTGATTCCGGGCAGAGGTTTGGCTACACCTCCAGTAGCTCAATGTCAGTGGTGCGAGAGCTCCAATCACCTAGTGGAGGACTGCCAGGCTATGAGGGAGTCTACCACACCCCAGGAGCAGTTGGCCTTCATCGCCAATGCGCGGCGCCTCGATCCATACAGTAACACATATAATGAGGGGTGGCGCCAGCATCCCAACTTCGCCTGGAGCAGCAACACCACTAAACCACCTGGTTTCCCAGCACCAGCAGGTGGTTTTCAGCAGAGGCAGCCCTTCCAGGCTCGACAGGGGCCAGCCCCACAGCAGCAGCCCTACCAGCCTAGGCAGGGGCAACCATTCCAGCAGCCCCAGCGCCAGTTTGCCGAGCCAGCAGTAGCTCCAGCCCCAGATGACCGGATGACAAAGCTGGAAAATATTCTAGCTTCATTCATGACTAGCACTCAGGCTGCTATCACATCACTGGAGGCAGGTCAGCGGAACCAGGGTGCCATTTTGCAGGATCTGCAGACCCAGGTGGGCATCTTGGCCCGCCAAAACACTACCAGGGCACTGGGGACTCTGCCTGCCACCACTGTTCCGAATCCTCGAGAGCCTCACCAGCATCAGCAGCTGGATGCCATTTTTACCAGGAGCGGTAAGACCATATCTGCTGATCCTGTCCCGGCCAGACAGGAGGAACCACTACCTGCTTCAGCACTTCCAGCCGATGCTGCAGAAGTGCGGGTAGAGAAGGAGGCCCATGCTCCCAAGCCACGACCAGCGGTTAAGGAGCATGTACCCCAACTTCCCTTCCCCACTCGCCTACATAAAGACAAGCTGGAGACTGAGTTTGCCAAGTTCATGGCAATGTTGAAGCAGCTCAACATCAGCATACCGTTCGTGGAGGCACTGTCGAAGATGCCCAAGTACGCAAAGTTCATAAAAGATCTCCTCTCCAACAAGAAGAAACTTGGGGATCTCTCGACAGTGTTGCTGAGCAAGGAATGTTCTGCTATCCTGCAGAACAAGCTGCCCGAAAAGCGCAAGGATCCAGGGAGTTTTACTATCCCTCTTACTATTGGCAGCATGCATGTAGGCAAGTCCTTGGCGGACCTAGGCGCTAGCATAAATGTCATGCCATATAAGTTGTATAAAAAGCTAGACCTAGGTGAACTTAGCCCTACTAGGATGAGCATTCAGCTAGCTGATCGTTCCATTGTGCATCCTAGGGGAATCATAGAGGATCTGCTTGTCAGTGTCGGTGCATTCACATATCCGGTTGATTTTGTTATTCTTGATATACATGAGGATGTGGATGTGCCTTTGATTCTGGGTAGACCATTTCTTGCCACCGCCAAGGCACTTATTGATGTGCATGATGGTAAACTGATCTTGCGTGCTGGGAATGAACAGGCTACTTTTTCTGTGACTGAATTTGATCACTGTGCTATGATTGCTGTCACGCCTATGCATGCCATTTCTGATTAGGTACACGAGCTTGTCGTGTATCCTTCTGCACCTCTTATTTTGCAGGACCCTCCTATCATTCCTTCGCCGCCACTCCATCCAGCCTCGCCTCCAAACAAAAAGATCAAGGAGGAGTGGCGGCCGAAGCAGCAGGTTGCTAAGCCTGCACGGAAGAAGAGTGGAGACCACTATGAGCTGGTCCCACCTCCGGCACCACGACCACCCTGGCCGTCCGGGTACTCACTCGCCTGCATCTTGCCGGATGGCCAGGTCGAGCTGACCGATGATGGTGGTCGCATTCGTCGGGTGCATGGCCACAACCTCAAGTTGTACCTCAAGAGCGACGTGGATCCGCTCTTGAAGGCACCTGTTCCTGCACCGCCCTGAGTATCCACCATGGGCGTCCAGCTAAAAGACGGTAAAGAAGCGCTTGTGGGGAGGCAACCCCACCACGGTTTGATTTTCTTTCTTGTGTTTTGAGTCGGATTGTAAACCAGTTGGTTTTGGTTTGTTTTCTTTTGTTCTGGATGATGTTTTATTGGGCTGACCATTGGACCTAACATATTGTGTTTGAGCTCTTTGGTTTCCTTTGGCTGTGCTTGTCTTGACTGGTCCTCTCTCCAGTCTGCTTCACTCCGACTGGTCTGCTTCCAGTCCCCTGCAGTCCGTGCATACCGGTAACATCGTTCCCCTTTCCCTTCCCTCTTCTCCATTGAGGGCAATGTCGATCTTAAGTGTGGGGGGATGTTTATCTTTTGACTGCATTAGATCTGTTTGTTTGCTTGGAGCCTAGTCCACTGTCCAAATTTTTAAATTTGAGGGCTCCAAGTACGTGTTTCCTGCAATTGCCTGCTCAGTATGCTTTGAATTGACAGTCTTTATGGTAATATGCAACCTAGGGAGGTAGTGTAGCACTATGGAGGATGTTGATGCATTTAAGAAGTCTCATTGCTTCTTCATATTGTGTTGGTTGATTGAGTGAATTAGTGATCTTAGGACCCTTGAATTGTGTGGTGTTGTGGATTCTCTACCTGTCATGGACTCTTGTATCATGTTTTGAGTTTAACAGGTGCTCGAAAATGTGCTTCAAAATAACGTCTCCCGTGCGAATAGGGCGAAAGTGTGTAAGGGGAGACGGGAATTCGTTCCCAATTTCCACCTACTACCTCCAGCCCCCTTACATGTCTTTCCCCCGCACGAGGCTCGAGACATCCGCTCCTGGCATGGGCGGTAAGAGCAGGTTGGGACCCTTGAAAAAAAAAAAGAAAAAAAAATAACAGAAAACAAGCAAAACAGAAAAGAAAAGGGGTTCCAACCATCTTCAAGAAGAAAATAGAGCACCTTGAAAAATGTGAGTCCATGATCTTTTGTTTTTGAGAATCTCTTCATCCACAATTCATTTGTCCTCTGTTCACTATTTGCCATGATGCCGACTCGATACTAGTGCTCTCGCCGAAGAAGCTATGAGATGACTTGTGTGTCGGTTGACCTCGTAAGTTGCTAAATGATATAGGAAATCCTCTACCTACGATCTAGGGTGTTTGTTGCTATAGAGGTCTGAAGAGTTGCATTGGTTTGAGTTAGGTTTGCTTGGGGACAAGCAAACAGTTAAGTGTGGGGGGATTTGATGACTCGGTATTTGCACATGTTTTCCCCTTTGTTTCTTGATGTTTGAGCTTGAATTATTGCGTCTTTGGCCTATTTTATGCTAGGTTGTGTTCCTTTGTCCCATTTCAGGTCCTAGCACATAAAGTGAAGCATAGGCGCAAGTTTCAAGTCAATCAGAGATCAATTGACGATTTGAGAGAGGAAACTCGGGCATGACCTGAAGAAGAATGGATTTCTACCTCACTTTATGGACAAATAAGCATGCAAGCTTGTTATGAAACGAAAGAGGACGAGACTACGAGCGTCTGGGATCAAACGGCGACTGATTCGGAGTCCGAACGAGGGAGAAACGAAGCATTAAACAGAGGCTGAGCAAGCTACACGGGCAGAGCAGAAAAACTGCACGGCCGTGCAAGGTGAGCTGCACGGCCGTGCAGACTGCCCGTGCAAGAAGCCTGGAATTCAACTAATTGATGCGCTGTGTTTTGACTCGCACGGGCAACTGGGTGAGCCACACGGCCGTGCGGCCTGCCCGTGCGAGTCGGGATTTTCTGCTTTTAAGCAGATTTTCAGCCACAAGTCGAGGGGATTCGAGTTTTTGAGGGAGAGAGCG